TCCTGGTGTTGCCCAGGCTGATATATCACATATCCCAGTGTATACAGAATTGGCCAAAATCAGCTACAGCAGTCTAGAAAGTGTCTAGCCAACATTCTAGGTCAGAAACACCATTTAAGATTTACAGGATAAGCAAAGTAAGTAGACACAAATGTCATCTTTTCCAACTGTTTCTGGAATATTCCTTTCTTCATATTGCAGTATACTGCACCCAGACATGATGGTGACAGGGCCTGGCTGGTAATACTGCTGTCAGTAGAGAATTTGTCTTGTTAAAAAGGCACCTAGCCTAAGAAACTAGCACAGGGAGGGATTTCCTGGGTTCTATAGGAAGCAAAGGCCTTCTGACCTAAACCTCTGAGAAAGCAGATTAAATTCAGTTTAAAGAAACAAGGGATTTCACAGTATCATGAAAGGGTTAAAATGTAACTGATGTCCTCAACGAACTGCTGAGCCGGGAATGAACAGATCAGGTTTTGTTTTCTTATTCATGGATCGTAGAGATAAAGGCAATCACCAGCCTGATAGCTCATCCTGGTGAATGCTTTCTAAAGTTCCCCCGTGTGACCATAAATGTGCTACTTCCCTGTATCCTGTGGGATACTACTTCATAAACTAATAATTATTTTATAAATCCATGATGCAAACGGCTTTTACCTTTCTCGCTGTGGGAAGCCACATCCCCTCCAGCAGCATCCCCTTCCTTTTGTCACCTGTGCCCTCCCCATATGCTCTTTTCAATCAGTTTCTTATGTCTTCCATCTAATTTCAAATTAAGGGTTCCGTGGTGGGGGGCAGGGTTTTGCTTTTCCCACTCCCTGCCCATGAAATATGAGGCTCTCCTGTTCCACTACGGAAAGACTGGATTTCTTTGATGAGCTCCGACAAGATGCAATTTAGACTAATCTATCAGACTGAAAGAAATGCAAGCAGATATACTACTGTGAACTTATTTTATTTCTAATTATGCAAATAATTATGTAAAATAGGCAAATGCATAATTTTCCCCCAGGCTCCAGGCACTTCTCCACTAAGCTTTAGGGAGTGCAAATTTTGATGTTCTTAGCTCAATAGCCTGTCTGATCATGTAAGATTGTATATAAGCATGCTTCAAAATGTAGAGGTTAAAAGTGTCATAAAAGTTATTTACTAAAAGTAACTGGTAAAATCTCACAGCTCAGACGGTGGCACCGGGACTTTGGCAGTGCTGGTTAGCAGGAGGTCAAGTGAGGTGCGGTCCAGCAAGTTTCTGTGGGTGGAAAGGACAGGGGGGAAGCAATGGCCTTTGTTCTTCTGAGGGCAGGGAGGACTCAAAGCCTTGCAACAGGTAGCCTGAAAATGTTCTCCCTTAGGCACACAAAATAAGTGGTGGGGCCAAGAGGAGGTGTTTTATTTTGATTTCCCTCCCCCCATGAGAAAAGTTTTCTATCAGATGGGATAGGAAACAAGGAAAATTATATTGGCACCATCTAAGAAGACTTTAAAAGAGCAGGAAAAGACATAATGTAGGGATGCCACTCCTCACTTTGACTTAGTTTGGAAGTCGAACTGGATTTATTTTTAAATGAGTAAAAAGACAGATAATTTTTTGTTCCTAACAATTCCTCCCTATGCACAGTCTAGTCAGACAGCTCCAGAGCTGGTATCAACACTGGAGACTGTAAATTTATTCTGGAATCTAGGACTAGCCAGGATTTTGCTTGTGAAGGTTTACTGCTGGCAGACCATGGTCTACTTAGACCATTAGCAGTTAGAAGATTTTTAGAGAAAACTTTTTGAACCCTCTGTGGTTGCAATAGACAACTTGTCAGATGCTGCAAAGTGCAGTGTGTTTGTTCTGGGTGACTGATAACCTGTCTGCTGTGCTTACTGTGCTGATGAGGATTCCTCCTGTTGTGAGGAAATTTAAGTAATTTTGCAGGTTGCCGTTTGAACTGTAGCTGATGGTACTTAGAGAGGTTCTGGATTTTTTGGGCTAACCTGTGTTCCAGAATCATGAATTTTGCTCCTCCTTTCCTTTCCTTTCCTTTCCTTTCCTTTCCTTTCCTTTCCTTTCCTTTCCTTTCCTTTCCTTTCCTTTCCTTTCCTTTCCTTTCCTTTCCTTTCCTTTCCTTTCCTTTCCTTTCCTTTCCTTTCCTTTCCTTTCCTTTCCTTTCCTTTCCTTTCCTTTCCTTTCCTTTCCTTTCCTTTCCTTTCCTTTCCTTTCCTTTCCTTTCCTTTCCTTTCCTTTCCTTTCCTTTCCTTTCCTTTTTCTTTCCCTTCTCTTTATTGTCCTCTGAAAGCTGTCAGGATGCTTTAGACTGATATAAGAGTCTGGGGTTTTCTTATATCACAATGTGCCATTTTGAGGCAACTGCCATTGCCTCTCTCTGTGATTGTTTCCCATCTCCCCATGGGTCTAAACAGAAAAAAGATCGTGGAATTTGGTAACATATCCAAGAGACTTCATCCATCTTAGTAAATCCTGTTGCACATTCCTGAATGTTGCATATTCCTGACATCTGGGATGACCTAGCAGCATCATCCTGTGTGATAAATTTACATTCTTCTCTCCCTAAGAAATAATCTAGGACATAATCCTTCTTCCTTTTGGCCTACCTTTTCACTTTTTTTCCCCTTTTGCTTCACTTTGATTCTACATTCTACATTTTCACAGCATGTATCAGAGATCCCAGTTATCTTTTTGTTCATTCCATGGTTTGGATGAATGACTCTAACAAATGGGACCAGTAGAAAACTGGGGGAGCCACTGATGCTGTTTGCCCTGTCTTGTAAACAAAAGTCCAGTTAAAGCCTTGCCTTTGATTTGACTGACCTTACTCTGAATAGTTCTTGTCACTGTATCCCCATTGCTGAGAGGGAGTTTCTTGCAATAGAATTTTACTAGCTCTGAACTTGTTTCTTTACATACAGAAATCAGAATGAGGAATCCATGGGGCAGAAAGTTTGATGTTGTTTTATCTTCTCTGCATTGTCATTCCCTGCCAGTGAAACATAGCATATCATCCAATGTTTTTCACAGAGAATATCACAAAGTGCTTTGCAGATGAAGACAGTCTTATAAGCCAAAGGGGAAAAGAGAGGCTTTAAGGTGATTATTACAAATTGGGGGGTAGAAGGGATAAGCAGGAAACCAAACTCCCCCCCCCCCCAAAACAAATGAAATAAAGCCAAACAAAAAAACCCAAACAAACACACAAAAACCCCCAAAACACAACAAACCCACAAAACCCAAATCAAACAAAAAAAACAAACAAAAAAAAAAAACAAACAAAAAAACCCTCTAACCCACAAAAACCTCCAAAAAATCTGTGGAAAGAATAATTTTATTGAAAGCTACCAGTGGTCAAAAAACAAACAACAGAGTAGACAAATTCATGTAAATATATCCCATGTGTGGTTATTTAGGTGAAGAGTATCACAAAAATCTTCTTAGTCAATTTGGGTAGAAAAGCAAGGAATTTTGACAAAAAGCCTTAAAATTTTGAAAAAGTGAAGTTTCTCTAAGGCACTCTTAAACAGCTATAACTGAGAAAGTAGAAGACATTTCTTTTCCAGAAGAAACTGTTGCAGCCATGACTAGTTAGTCCTTCCCATATGTATTTTTTTATATGCACAGTATTATCTTTAAAAATATCTCCATTAAGAGGAGTATATTTATTTTAGCAAGCCTGTTTATAACTGTCAGCTTCTCTTAAGAAATGTAACAAAAGCTGCAGCACCATGGTCTTATTGGCATGAGGACACATTGTTCCTGAACAGTAGAGGATATGGAAAACATTTGTCTAACAATTGCAGTTGGAGCTCCCTGAGCCAAACCCTGCTCTCTTTAACTGCCCTGGAGGATGGTATGGATTGGTGTCTTTCCTTAGCTGCTATAGAAGCACAGTCCTGAGCAAAGGAGTAAAAGTAAGAATTTGAGTACTGTAGTTCAGGGGGACCTTTGTCCTCAAAGGGAATGATGGGGTAAGTTGAGTAATACTTGGCTGGAGCCTATCGGAGAGCACAAACTCTCATGGGTCAGTGAAGCAGAAGCAGGCCTTGCTGCAGAGCTTTTATCAAGCACAGCCCTTCTGTGCTGCCGAAGACATGCTCTGCCTGCACAGAGGCTGAATGGTCCCAGCTCTCTGCTTTGGCAGTGCACCCCAAAACACAACTATGCTGCAAACCCCACATTCCTGTCCTTAGCAAATGTATGCTGGTGTCTAGTTCTAGATCTGCTTGGCCTAGCAGGCCAGTAACGGGTCTCCTCACCTATGCCATTTTCTCTCCTGCAGGCAGGGTGCTTTCACAGAGGAACTCCTGGTTTTTCACTGTTTAATTGAGTCTCTTAAGGAATCGCAGCAGCTCAAATGGGGATTTAAAATTTCTCCTCTTTGCTTAGGTAACACTGGACGTTTCAAAAAAAGCTGCCTTCCCCCAGCTGGGGCTTAGATCTGCATGAATAAAGCATTTATTCTGCCAGCAAAAAGCAACGGTCATGCTGCGATAACAAATCGAACCCCCCACACTGGGGAGGAGATGGTGCACAGTCACGAACATCTCAACTACGCAACAGGATCATTCTGCAAATGTACTCGGGCGCTGCGTTTGGAGGTTTTTCCCTTACTCTATTTTTTTCCCTTCCTTTTTAGTAACTCCGGGCACAGGCAGCTGTTGGCATTTTCAAAGCCTGCTCAGAAAGCAGCCAGTTAATTTTAGTTTGCTCGGGCCACCCTGAGCGAGCTGCCCCCCCCCCCACCGCCCGCCTTCTCGGCTGTGCCGGGCAGCGCGGAGGGTGGGGGCCGCGGGCGGCTCCGCCCGGCCCGGCCCGGCGGGGATGGGAAAAAGTTGTTCCCAACTTTTTTTCCCCCTGGCGGGAGCTCCTCCCCTCCCCTCCCCCAGCGCGGCCCCTCCCCCCCGCGCGGATTGGCGGGCGGGTGCCGCGGGCCCCGCCCCCGGCGCGGTTTGTGAATGAGGCCGGCGGCGGGGGCGGGGCCCGCGCGGAGCTGCGCCTTTTTTGTGTGCCGGCGCGGCCGCGGGCCGGGAGCCGCGGAGCGGGCGGTGGCGGCGGGGCAGCGGGCGGAGCAGAGTGAAACGAAACGAAACGAGCTGAACCGGGAGGCGCGCGGCTACCTCGGACGCACAGCCCGCAGCGGTGTCCATCGGGAGCGGAGCCCAACCGAGCCGCGGGGAGGATCGCGCAGTAATTGGATTTTGAAAGTTATTTAAGCCCTGAAGTAAAATACACGGCTCAGCCGGGCGCGGTAATAATCCATTTAGCCGTAACCTAAATCCCCGGGACCGTGCAGTCGTGCAGGGAGCAGTGCCTCCGCCTCGCCGCCGCCGCGGGACCCTGCGCGGAGCTGGCCAGAGCGTCGCTGGGCTACACGCGCGTCTCCTGTTTCGCTGCCGCCGCCGCCGCCGCTGCTGCCTTCTCCGGGGAGAGCAGCTCCGGAAACTTTCGCCTAGAGTAGCGCCGCCACCGCTCTGTAAGCGCCGCCGCGTCGGAGCCGAGGAAAAAAGTCGTGCAGGTCCGGCGCTCAGCCGTGTTCCTCCCGTCGCCGCGCTCCTGCCCCACCGAAGGGGCCCCGCCTCCGCCCTCTGGTTGCTGATGCCCCTGGGGTGTCGCGCCGGCCGGCTCTGAAAGACTCCCCGAGCCTCCTCAGGCCCCCGGCCGCCCCAGTAATGCAGGCTGGAGGAGAATGCGGCGGAGCGGCTGCCGCCGGCTGCCCCTTGCTGGGGCTGGCCGCGCTGCTGGCTGCCCTGCTGGGGACCCCCGCGGGTGCCACAGCACAGCAGTACCACGGCGAGAAGGGCATCTCAGTGCCGGACCACGGTTTCTGCCAGCCCATCTCCATCCCTCTCTGCACGGATATCGCCTACAACCAGACCATCCTGCCCAACCTGCTGGGCCACACCAACCAGGAGGACGCAGGGCTGGAGGTGCACCAGTTCTACCCGCTGGTCAAGGTGCAGTGCTCGCCCGAGCTGAAGTTCTTCCTCTGCTCCATGTACGCGCCGGTCTGCACCGTGCTGGAGCAGGCCATCCCACCCTGCCGCTCCCTCTGCGAGCGGGCCCGTCAGGGCTGTGAGGCCCTCATGAACAAGTTCGGCTTCCAGTGGCCAGAGCGGCTTCGCTGCGAGAACTTCCCTGTTCACGGTGCGGGTGAGATCTGCGTGGGGCAGAACACGTCGGATGCCCCACCAGGACCTGGTGGTGCGGCAGGTCGGGGGGTCACTGCCCACCCCACAGCTGGCTACCTCCCTGACTTTCTTACCCCACCGCAGCCACCCTCTGGCTTCTCCTTCTCTTGTCCGCGGCAGCTCAAAGTGCCCTCTTACTTGGGCTACCGGTTCCTGGGGGAGCGGGACTGTGGAGCCCCCTGTGAGCCAGCCCGGCCCAATGGGCTCATGTACTTCAAGGAGGCAGAAGTGCGATTTGCCCGGCTGTGGGTGGGCGTGTGGTCTGTGCTTTGCTGTGCCTCCACCCTCTTCACCGTACTCACCTACCTGGTAGACATGCGTCGTTTCAGCTACCCGGAGAGGCCCATCATCTTCCTCTCAGGCTGCTACTTCATGGTCGCCGTGGCCTACGCAGCAGGCTTTTTGCTGGAGGAGCGGGTGGTGTGTCTAGAGCGCTTCTCTGAGGATGGTTACCGCACTGTGGCCCAAGGCACCAAGAAAGAAGGCTGCACCATCCTCTTCATGATCCTTTACTTCTTCGGTATGGCCAGCTCCATCTGGTGGGTCATCCTGTCCCTCACCTGGTTCCTGGCTGCTGGCATGAAGTGGGGTCATGAGGCCATTGAGGCCAACTCCCAGTATTTTCATCTGGCTGCCTGGGCTGTGCCTGCTGTCAAAACCATCACCATCTTGGCCATGGGGCAGGTGGATGGGGATGTACTCAGTGGGGTTTGTTATGTAGGTATCTATAGTGTGGACTCGCTGAGGGGCTTTGTGCTGGCACCGTTGTTCGTGTATCTCTTCATTGGCACTTCCTTCTTGCTGGCTGGCTTTGTGTCCTTGTTTCGTATCCGCACCATCATGAAGCATGATGGCACCAAGACGGAGAAACTAGAGAAGCTGATGGTGCGCATTGGTGTCTTCAGTGTCCTCTACACAGTGCCTGCCACCATTGTCTTGGCGTGTTACTTCTACGAGCAGGCCTTCCGTGGCACCTGGGAGAAGACGTGGCTCCTCCAGACCTGCAAAACGTATGCTGTGCCCTGTCCCAGCCACTTTGCCCCTATGAGCCCAGACTTCACTGTCTTCATGATCAAGTACCTCATGACCATGATTGTTGGGATCACGACTGGCTTCTGGATTTGGTCTGGCAAAACCCTTCAGTCCTGGCGACGCTTCTACCACAGACTCAGTACCGGCAGCAAAGGCGAGACGGCGGTATGAGACCCCCCTGTCCCCTCTGGCACACACACTCTCACACAAGCATACACGCAGAGGAGACGGATACTCAGCATAGGGGTAGGGCAATGGCTCCCTGAAGTGGGAGGAAGGAAGGCTTTTCCAAACTTTTTCTTCCTCACAGAAAGTTTGAAAAAAAAAAAAATCATTGCATAAATGATCAGTCAAACCATGTCCAGTGGTGCTTATGACCAGCTAAGTGGGAGAGGACAGAAAAAGAGGCAACTGCTGGGACAGGAGTCCTTCACGCAGAAATCTCCTTACTTCTCTCCTGCTGCTCCTCGAGGAAGAGAAATTCCAACCCAACTAAAATCATCCTGCCTTCCTTTGGACAAGAGGGAGGGGAAGCCAGATCTGTTGAGCCACCCCTGCCAAGAAGTAGCCAAAAGCTCTTTGAATTGCCGGGGCCAAACTGCAGCATGGGCAGGGTAACTCCCGAGCCTGAGCTCGCTGCCTGCTCCTTCCAGCTCGGCAGAGCCATCACGTGAGTACTGCACAGCCGGCTACAGCCTGCTCGTGTGCTGGGGAGATGCCTCTGTTCTATCAGCTCACAAGATCCTTTTTACCTCAGCGATACCTCTAATTGTTGTAATTGTTTTTAAGTAAAAAATTGGCTCTCAGTCTGTTGTTCTTGCTGCTGTGGGGAAGGAGGGGGTTGCTATTCCACACCCTGAAAAGAAATGACTTGTTGCTTTTCAGCAGAAGGCTTTTCCCCGTTGCCTTTGTTCTAGGAGACAAAGGGGGAAACAAAAGTGTTTTCTATGTAGAAAGGCATAAGCATGGGATCGGTTTTTATGGGCAAACTAACAAAAAGAAGTCGTTGAGGTTCACCCTTGGATATGAGAAGCTCACAGAAATAAACATTCCTTTTATGAAAAAAGGCGGAGGCAGGATGTTTTCCTACCGTTCAACATGGGTCACTTTTCTAAGCTGAAGGAAATGCAAGATTTAGAGGGCAAGAAGAGCTTACCTGAGAGCACCTGCCAAAACAAGAGCCACTAAAATATGTAATGTAAAGATAGGATTTTTTTCTTTCCTTCCCATAAACCTGCTTCCTCTCCTGCTTTGCAGTGAGCTCACTGCAGAAAAAAATCAATACGCAGCCGGATTCTGGGGACAGGAGGAATCGTTTTGGCTCACGATGGACCCTTTGCCTGCTCCTCAGATTCCCTGAGCTGCATGGCAATGATTCTTGGTGCAGGTGGGAGGCTGGGGTTGGGGTTTAAAATCAAGTAGTTACTGAAGTGAGGAGCCTCCTCATTTTGGCTAAAACACAGCTGTTTGAGTTTCCAGTGATCAATCTTTGAAGGAAAAGCATTCAAAAATTTATCATCAAATGCATTGTTTTCTTTTTGAAATGTGACAGATTTTTCTATTCTGAAAATTTTTATGTTGACTTGTTCATATTTTATTTTTTGCATACTACTTTACCTTTATATTCACTGAAGGGTTGTTTTTATAAGTATATATGTGTGTGTGTATTCTTGCCTAAGGACAAAATAGGACATTCTGGATTTTTGGCAAGTCTCCACCCTATAGCTGCTCTTCATGTTTTTGGGGGAGAAGTATCTAGAATTAAACTTTAAAAAGAAAAAACCTGTCCAGGGTGAGGGGGCAGACTGCTGCTGTCTGAGGGTGTACCAGTAGTCTGAGCATGAGGAATGGGCCCATCAGCTAAATCCTTCAGTAGCTCTGATGTCAGACTTGCAGGGCTTGGTTTGTCTTTTATAATGTGCACGTGGAAGAAAAAAAACAAGCGTGTGAGACAAGTGCAGTATGTATATTTTGTAAATCTCATTTTTGTAAGAAAATATGTATTTATGTTTTTACTTGATTTTTTTTGAAGGTCTGTATGAGGCCCTGCTTCACCCCATGTACAGATCACTAAATAAATAATTTTTAATACAAGGGCTCTAATGATGTTTTTTTTTCCATCTTTGAATACTTGGCAGGTTTTAGAATGGGGGGAAGCTCTGAAAGTCGTGTCTTCTCCCCCACTTCATTATGGATAATGCATGAGACTTTTGGGTGAATGCAGGCTGGAAACTCAGCTGTGGCTTGAAACTACCAGCCCCTCACAATAGGAGAGCACATTTTGAGACAGCTGGTTTCAAATGTCTGCCCTCACTTGAGGTACTTGCATCCTAGCCAAATTTTCTTCCACTCTCTGCTTCTTGCTGAGGGCAAGCTGATAAACCAGTTCCTTTATCTAGAAAATAAGGATAATGCTCTCTTCCCATTCCAAAGAGACTTTGAGAACTGGAGGGTGTAAATTAGGTTCTCCCTTTGACGGGTGGAGTGTAATAGAGAAACACTAAGGACTAGGTCCTTTTTAATGGCTTTCAACGGGCAGTATCATGAACTAGTGCTTTTTTTCGCATAGCACCTTTACTCTCTGCAGTTTTGTTCAAGTGAATTTTACTTTAATTTTAATAGCTAGCCTGAAGCCTACATTGTTTCTTACCACAGTCATCTGAAAGCTTCAGTGGAATGCTCTATTTTATTTAATTTTTTTAACTGAAATGAATATTTAGATCTCAAGCTGTGTTGCTAGTCATGGAAAGTGCCCCAACAAACAGAATTGTACACATGTGAAATTATGATATTTTACAGCATTTCTTTCACAAGGATTTCAGGCTACCATCTATATTCATCACTCTTCCTGTACCTTCAGTTACGCCAATACTAAAATTTAAGTTACAGAACAGAGATAGATCTAAGATTCCTTAGCTAGATGCCATCACAGTAGCTGTGGTTGTACTGCAACATTTCATTTACTAAGCATAGTATGTAATAGTTCCACTTTGAGGGCACTATTTTATTTGGACACTGTGCTCTTGAATTAAACCTTTTACATTTACAGTGTATGAACTACTGATTCAAAAGTTCTTTTAAGAGCTAACCCCATTCATGCTGTCTTTCTGGAAGAGCCATATCTTTTATTTGAAAACACCCCAGAACTGCTCACTTGTCAAGTTCCCTTTTTGAAAAGACTTTTGCATTCCTGCCAGTCCGGCTGCTTCAAACTGCTCCATGACATGAGCTTGCTGATCATTTCTGAGGGGGGTCTCATTCCACTCACTGAGGAAACCTGAACCTTTCTATAAACATTTCCTCCCATTAATCCAGAGTGATGGAAGGGCTGGAACAGCCTGTGCTGTGAAGGACTGGGAGCAGTGGTGTGACTGACACCCCTGTGCTGTGCAGCCACAGCTGTGTCGCTAAACATGCAATCAATCCTTCCCTGCTCGCTGCATGAGAAACCATTCACTAAAACTTTTACATTAATTTATAAATAGCAATAATATTTTGTAAAAATAACTAAAAAAGTAAAAAAACCTAATTAACAGGGAAAAAAAACCTAATTTAAGCTACTAATAAATAAAAAAACATTACTACTGAAGTAAAAAAACTAATTACAAAATAAGTGATTGTTCACATGTGATTGCTATTTTTTTCTCCGTATGTGGAAAAACTATATAGACTTTATGTTCATGAGACATTTATATCTAAAAAGAAAAGTCTCTATTTCCACCAGAAACCACTAAAGTGGTCTGCTTTTATTTCAGTATTTCCTATTAGGTACTTCTGGATTTAAAGTCACGTATGAAAAAGTATCCAAATCCTGGGATTGAAGATAATTTTTAAAATTTGAAATTTTAGGTGAAATTTGATGATGATGTAAAGTAAAAGCAACCAGTATTTACTTATAAGCAGCTGTGACTCACATCAAGTCTGAATTTGCTCACAGTGGAAACAATTCGGAGAATTTCAAGTAGTGATAGTGTCTGGCCTGGAATAAAAATGTCTATCACCATTTTGATAACAAAGTAGCAGTTACTTTAATAATGAAATACAATTTTAAAAATCTATTTGTGAAGCTCTCTGAAAAAAGGACAAAAAAATAAGCCTTTACTAAACCTTTGATAATCACTGCAAAACATTTTTCTCTGACTAATGTTTAAGCCCACTTTATTTTTTTTAAGTTTTAAGAAAGCTGCCTCACCTTTACCTTTGGCTCTTGTCTATGCAGCATTTTTTGGTTCACAAGAACTTAGCAAATAATAGTTATCATTGATCCATATCCCTGTAAGTATACACCATATACTATATTTTCATGAAAACAATGGAAACACTGGTTCTTCAGTTTCAAAGACATTTGTGTAACTTTCTAAAATGAAGGATTATTGTTTCAGGCAAGTTAAAGAGGCTGCTTCAACAGTTCTAGAGTTCATGAATGGCAGCCCAACTGAATGTTTGTCTCCACAGAAAAAAGTGCTTTTATAATACGTCAGTGTTTGTTTGGGTTTATTTTTGGTGGAAAAACCACACTGATGATTGAATGTTTTTGTCTAAGTACTTCACCCACAACCAATAGCTTTGCATGCAAGTAAAAACCACACATCTCTGTATTCACCAACTGGCAACAATAAACATTACTTATAATTTAACATGGGTTTAGAAGCCAAATTACTAGCCTGCATTTCAAATAGCCTCTTTTTTCCTTCATCTCACTCTCATTTCCTTCCAGATTTTACAGGTACTTCATATACACTTCATACATGCCTTCTACTCCTTTTAATTTTAAAACCATGAATCCAACGGAAAGAAATTTACCCACTTGCTTGGAGAGGAAAAGATGACACTGAATCTTCAGTATTCTAACTGTTCGTTGAGGAAGACCATTGCCAAGCCTGCCCTGTATAAACCAGAATAATTGTTTCATGCCAACATGTGTGTGGTTTTGGCAGAAATAATGCACAAATAATGTAAGATTGGGGGAATAAATACAGTCATGGCAAATTTCCAAATGCCCCACTTAGAATCAACTAATTTTGTCTAAAGTGATGCCCAAACTGTAAAACTAAAATATGTACATCAGAGTTTAACACTGCTCAGACAACCAGTTAGTGAGTAAGTCAGAGAAGGGAGGTACAGGAGAGGGTTTTGACACTGTTTAAACGCTAGGTCCAAGGTTGCCCTGGTTCAGGTGGCTGGGCATTGCTTGTCTCAAAACCAGCTCAGTGGAAGTAAGGCACAGGCAGCACTTTCTCCTAATTCAGGTAAGCACCAGGCTCAAGCACAATGTTACCACAGCTGCAGCCAGATGGGATTCCACTGAATGATGCCAGGACAGCCCAAACCAGGGTCATGTGCACATACTCCTCTGCATCACCTGCTCCTCTCTGTGCAGTCAGCCTACCCACACCAGGAAACTATAGGACTTGGAGAATTGAGAATATGAATAAAAAGCAGGAATAAGCAGGGCCTAGAGTACATTTTTAAATAACAGCTGTAAATTGGAGGAGATCACTAATCCATATTAGTAAAGAAATCCTGATTGCAATAACTTGTTTGTTTTGGCTGCCCCAACTGTATTACATAGGCTTGGTAATAGACAACCCTTCACTTAAACATATTATCCTTACAAACATACATAGAAAATCCTAGTCTGCTGCCTAGAGGAGTAGCCTATGTGAGTAGACTTTGGCTGCACACATCTTGGAAATTAGTTTTGTCATGTGGCTACCAGGGTAGCCATAACCTTGCCATTAAAACTTCAATCTCAAAGGCCAGGGTGATATCTAGAAAGAAGAAAAAAAAAAAAGAGGCCCAGTTCTCCCCTACTTCGAGCTTTACTGAAGATACTGCAATTCTAGCATTGTTCCCAAACCAATCTGCAGAAAGGCAAAGTCATTGTCAGGGCAGGCAAGGAGATAGATTATTCCCACTATGCTGTCCTTTTCCTTAGGCTAACATTCTGAGGGACTTGAAAAAACTTGTGGTGAATAGGGAATTCTGCCAGGAGCTGCACTAGAAGAAAAACATGTTAGCTGTCCCAGATGGACACAAAAAGGTGTTCTAGCAAGTAGGCACTAATCTAAGGTTTGAAAAACAAGTGCTTGATTACCTGCACAATCACAGATGGTGGCCAGATTATATACAGCCAGTATCCCAGCAGTATTCAGGCAGCTAAAAAATGGAGGCAGGTTACATGGAAAGCACTTTTCATAAACATTTAAATTTCCAGGTGCACATCTAGAAAAATCTTGTCTCTGTCTCTAATTCCTTGTCTATAAAATTGGAGCAGTGACACTTCTGTATATTATAGGGACGTTGTGAGAATGAATACTTTCAAAATCAGAAGAAACTGAATACAATTATAATAGAGTTTGTATAAATACCTCTGTCCCACAGTCTGATATTTTTCAAGTAGATTCTGTTTAAGAGAATGCCAAATTAAGACAACCAGCTAGAATACATTATTTGTATGTTTTCCAATATCTTATCTAAAACTAGTCAGGCTGAGCACCTACCTGCTTTCACAGGACTATCCTCTTGCCAGGCTCAAATATAAAGTGTGAGAGGGTATAAAGAAGCAAACTAGGTAAATAAAAAAGTACACTAAACTGGGCATGTATGTCAAACAAAATGGACTCGTGTTATAGTGGTGCATAGACATAGCAGAGATAAAGTTTGGGCCTGTGCTGCTACTACAGGGTTCTTAACTCTTCCAGTACTCCCCAAACTCTCATTGGCTGTATGTTGTAAACACCTTTATCATCAACAGGCTCAATGACAGCTCTGCTGATCCTCTTTAAATAAATACTGTTCACTTCAGCTTGCTGCTAGTGCAATCTAAATCTTAATAGTAGGCCTAAAGCAGAATTGACCAAGGTTTCATCCAAGCCCATGGCAGTGAGAATTCACCTTCTCTGCCATGTTCTCACTTAATCTCTTAGTTCCTTGACAGTTTCTTTCTGCTACCATGACCTCAAACAACATCTTTCTCGTTACTAATGATGGCCAAGGAGAAAGATTAGTTGTATGCTTGGACATTTTCCTGCCCTAACAACAGGAAACAGCATGGGGCTATTACACTTCTTTCACCAATGAAATACAGAATT